TTTGTATTACGAATTAAATAATATAAATTCTACATTTCGTAAAATTCATTGCGGTTTATTGAATTACTTCTAGAAGATATTTAGTTTACCATCTGCTGATTCAATGAAAATAAATTCTCGTTCAATGTACGTACGAATGCTAAAGTACTAAACTTAGAATACGACAATTACGTTACGTGATTCTCATTAAATAATTTTGATTTCGAAACTAGAAATATACAGAATATAGTCTTTAATTTATGTATATAAATGATTATACCACTGAACATTTCTTATGCAAAAGTACTTACAATGAGTAAAATTATAATAAAAATATGTCATGTGTCTTGTCAAAAATAAAGAAATTAGCATTTTTATTCAAAATACTCCGAAAATTGGAATATTGTAGCATTATTTATTTAAGTGCTTATATATTAAAATAAATAATAGAAAAAGACTATGCTAGATTAAATGCAAACGTATCCCACTGAAATCATCGACACAGATTTCTCCGACACTGTTTTCACCGACAACATTTCATCAACTCCAGATTTGTCCGACATCGGTTTTTAGACAATGACATTGACCGACAACATATTACATATGAATAATTAACATTTGTGTTATATTTACTTATACGAGTTAATATTTTTATTGTATTAATATAAATATGTTAATATTTCTGTTATATTTATTAATATATCGTTTTTCCTGCATTCTCAAAATAATACATTTTACTATTTTTGTTTATATCGGTTTGTATATTAATGATAGATGCACAAGTAATATATTTTCTGCTCAAAATGATCAATAATTGCATTTTTTCCGTTATCATCAATCTATTCTACCATTCTTTATATGTAAAAGGAAAAAGATGTAAAATCAATTCTTGTTGTCTTTTAAATTAAATAAGTTATCTTGTAGCCTGTCATTGGCTAAAATTGTTATCAAGCAAATCTGGAGTTGATGAAAACAGTGTTGGAAAAATATGTGTCGATGATATCAGTGGGATCCAGGTTAAATCAGAAAATTATATTCTGGTATTAAGAAGGTTTTTA